AGTTTCATGTGAAAAAATCAGAACTTCATTTGGTCCTTTCATTTTGTCATTTGTAAGACTTCAGAAAATCACTGCATGAACTGAAATATATGCATTTCCTTAGAGAGATAGTTTTTCACTGATGTTTTAAAAATCCATCAAGTATAATTAATAATGAGACTTCAGGTCCTATAAATTTTACAAGCTGGAGATAAAAATGGTTTCTTTTTCTTCAAGAGGATATTTCAAAGCCACAGGACTGTAATACTAATGCAGAAAGGAATTCTTAAAAGAAAAAAAAAGACATCAGACATCTCATTACATCATCATTTTGATCATCAAGTCATTGCCACCTGATACGTTCACTTAATGACAGAGCTTCTGTGGAGGTATTCTCATTTAGAGATTTTCTGAGGAAGGGGAAAAGGGGATCCTAAATCCTTAATAAGATCAATCCAATTATTAACTAAAAAGAAGAGAACAGGTTCATTTAGCCTACTTAGGCAGCATATTCTAGCAACATAAAAGTTATATATGTGATATATATATATATATATATATAGCCACATTAGTAATTAACTTTTAATAAAAGAGTACCTTAATGCTAATTTAATGGGAAAAACCAAATGAAGAATGTAATATCATGAACTCTTAACAGATGTCCTAATTAGATATCATTAAGGAGACTATTAGATGATTTAAAATTGAACCTTTCATTAGCTACCAAAAATATACCCTTTACTTCATAATGAACCAGTTATGGGCTGGAATACTCACCTGGGCAATGGACGGCAAGTTGGTCCGAACTGCCTGGGGTTTCACTTGAGTCCCGGCCCCCTGAGAGGAGACAAGATACCTAACCCTGTTTGTTTGCTGAGAACTGCTCTACGGAGTAGGACAAACTAGCTTTCTTAAGCTGTGGTTCATGGAGATTTATAAATGGGCCATGAAATCTTTGAGAATGTATGAAATTTTGGTTTTCAAAAAAGGTATTTTATAAGTTGAAAAGTATTTTTAATGACAACTTCCTGTTTTTTAGGTCAGCTTCTCAAACCGGAGAAGGAGACATGAATGAAGTCCTCTGGGATATCTGAGGTATGTACTTTCCTCTTTAATTAACAGAGATCTGCATAATATTCAAGTGTGAGAGAGAGAAATGGTGTTTGGTGTCTTTTTTTCCTGGTGCTTGAGTATGTGGGACAGTCACTGAAAGCTGTTAGGGCTAGTAAAGAAAACATGTTGTTCCTAATAACAATTACTTATAGTTACCAGTTAATTTCTTATAATTAAATGAAAAAATAAAAAATGTATATAGCAACAAGATTTGCAACCCCATAAGTGTATGTATTTACAGGATTCTCTTTCATGCACCGTCCACCTGTACCTGCCCTTTCGGCCAACGCTCAGTTGACTTTTGCTAAATTCTCTGTGTGAAGATTTGCAGTTGAACGAACTAGCATGGGCGGAGTCTACACATGCGTCCGTCCATTTTCTCAGCTCAGTAGTCAGGAGTCTCTCCTTGGACCAGTGATGCTTCTGGGAGATTGCACAAAAGGGATACTCAGCATGTGCTTTTATCTTTCAATTTCTTTTTTTCTTTTTAAATTACAGTGGACATTCAATATTATATTATATTGGTTGCAGTGTGTAGCATAGTGGTTAGATAGTCAAGTACTTCACACAGTGGTTCCCCCGATGTTCCTAGTGTCTGCCTGACACCATACATGGTTATTACAGTGTTATTGACTATATTATGTGCTGTAATTTACATCCTCCTAAGTATTCTGTGACTACCAATTTGTACTTCTTAATCCCTCTTCCTTTTTCACCCAGCCTCCTCACCCCTCACCCTTCTGGTATCTATCAGTCTGTTTTCTACATCAATGAGTCTGTTTCTATGTTATTTATTTTGGTTTTTAGATTTAACATATAAGTGAAATCGTATGTACTTGCTTTTCTCTGTCTGGTTTATTTCACTTAACATACAACTCTCTAGGTCCATCCACGCTGTCACAAAAGGTAACAAAAGGATTTTTTTATGGCCAAGTAGTATTGCATTGTGTAAATGTACCACAGCTTTTTTATCCACGAGTCTACTGATGGGCATTTGGGTTGCTTCTATATATTGGCCATTGTAAATAATGCTGCAATGGACATGGGGGTGCATATATTCTTTCAAATTAGTGTTTGGGGGTTTCTTAGAGCATAATCCCAGAAGTGGAATCGCTGGGTCATAAGGCAGCTGCATTTTTAATTTTTTGAGGTAACTCCCTACTGCTTTCTGTAGTGGCTGCACCAGTCTGAATTCCCACCAACAGAGTATGAGGGTTCCATTTCTCCACATCCTGGCCAGCACTTGTTTGTTGATTTATTGATGATAGCCATTCTGGCAGGTATGAGGTGATACCTCATTGTGGTTTTAATTTGAATTTCTCTGATGGTTAGTGACGTTGAGCATCTTTTCATACATCTATTGGCCATCTGCGTGTCCTTTTTGGAGAAGTGTCTATTCAGGTCCTCTGCCCACTTTTTAATTAGGTTGTTTGTTTTTTTTCTGATATTGAATTGTCTGAGTCCTTTAGTGACTACTTCTGCATGTGCTTTTAGGAAAAATAGATATTTGTGCTGATTCACTGATATACCTATGGTTGTACTGTGGACAACTGAGCAAATATTCTGTGTTACTTCATTTGTGAGTATAGTGCCCCCTCTCCTAACTCACAGAAGGTTCTGTCCATGGAAATCAAGTTGCCAATATAAGCAAGTAATTATTAGATGGAGCAGAACTCCAAGTACCAGCAGGGCATTTCTCTATTTTCCTATAATCATTTTCAGTTAATCTACCAGTTAACTATAGTTTTGGCAGAAGTAACACTTTCCTTTCAATTCCAGGATTTAGAAAACCCAGTTCAGTGTATTTTATAATTTCTCAAAAGTTGTCTCCCTTCGCCGGGCAGAGGTCTGGGAGGTGCCTTGAGGCCCCGCATGGGTGCGAAGGGGTGTCACCGGCCCGCTGCTCGACCACGTCCTCACCTTCTTGCTCGCCAGTCCTCTTCCTTGAATAACTGCTCTTCAAGAACTTGGCAAGAGGAAGGGACAGACTTCAAAATAAAAAAGACAAAATACTGTTTTATTTGTCAGGTGCGTTATACATTTTGTTGGCTAATGATGACAATGGCTCTATTAAAAGATGTTTCTGTGGGTTCCTCAGAAGCTAAAGCCCTTGATTTTAATGCATGGAAATGTTTTCATATGAATTGTATTTATTGTTTCTTACTTAAGAAGTCCCTTCCTATCATACATCACAAAGATGTGTTTCTGTATTTTCTTTAAAAACATTGTTTTTGTAATGGAAATTTTAAGCTATAAGCGTTTATTTTGGCATAGGCTTAAGTCCAGTTTTGGTTTTCCATGTGGATTCCAAACTGACCCCCTATCATTCAATATACACACCATATTTCCCTGCTCACTTGCAAACATATCTTTGTCATTAATCAAATTTCAATTTGGTATTTGTCCCTTTTGGAGCTCTTTATTTTTCCATCCACTTGCTTATCCTTGTCCTAATATCACATTATCCTAATTCATAAAAATGACACATCAATTCTTGATATAGATTAAGAAAAATTCCTTCACCTTGTTCTCTTATTCTGAGTCCTTTGAACCTTCCCATAAATTTTAATATATGCTTTTCAATTTATGTAAAATTATGCACACACATATATGCACCTTGGCAGTATTTTTCTTGAAATTACATTAAGTCAATAGATCAGTTGGGTTAGAAATGAGATTTGTATATGTAGTAGTAGTCAGGGTTTGCCAGAGAAATAAAACGTGTATGTGTGTGTGTGTGTGTGTTAGAGAGAGAGAGAACAGGCCAGAAACCCCGGGGAAGAGCTGATGCCACAGGCGGAGCCCGAAGGGGTCCTCTGACAGAACCTCTCCCCCTTGGGACGAGGGAAGTCTCTTTTTCTCAAGACCTTCAGTAGAATAGGTGAGCCCAGAGACATTATGGAGGGTAATCTGCTTTACTCAAATGCTCCTGATTTAAACATTCGTCTCATCTAAAAAACGTCTTCACAGCAACATCCAGACATCTTTGACCAAATATCATTTATTACGTATTATTCCAAGTGGAAGGTTGTTTCATGTTTTTGTGAATTCTCTGACTGTACCAAGAGAATTTAAAATGCATGTTAAATTATTCCTTTGCATGGTGGTTTCATTGGTTGCTTTAATGAATGAGTTTTTTTCTGTTTGGCAATTGAAAGTGACCTCAGAAGACAGATGAGCGGAGAAGGAGAGGCACTGTTTATATTTCAGATGATGATGCATAGGCTGCCTGTTTTCCCATTTATCCCAATTTACTCCAGTGCCTTCACAACGTAGTTAGAGGGGACTTTGACGCTGTTTCCCAGAATCTACCATTTAAGAGCATGACACTGCATTGGAGACAACGCAGTCACTGTAAAGCTGAAGTTCAGGTATCTGCCAGCTTTCACAGTTCCCTAATTCCGAGCAAGAGACGCAGGTTTTGGAATATCTATCTCTTTTTCCTTATTTTATGCCAATTAATTAATGACTGCCAGGGAATCAACCAACAAATAAATCAACACTGGCAGAGGTAAGCAGGCACTGGCCACATTTACCTCCACCAGTCTAGAAGGGACTGCTATGCTGTTATCTGATTCATAAATGTATGATTATAGTCAACGTATTTTGGTCTATGTGCTTGGCAAACTGGATGTGATGATGAACATTGATGTATCCCTTGTCAAAAAGGACAATGGCGTGTTTGGATCCATGGTCTCCATTGCATAGTCATTTATAATTTACTTGTGTATGGTGTCTTGAAGCTAATCCCTTCCCGGACCTCGGGCGCCGGGGAGGCAGAAGGCATAATGGAGGTCTAGCCACAGCCATTTGGAAATGAAGGACTAGATCTCCGAGTTTTGATTTTAGAAAGGGAAATAATTAAAATCATATGTGGTGAGATCTCCAACAATTAAGGAAAGGACACAGTGCTCGCTTTGGCAACACACATTCTAAAACTGGAAGGAGAGAGAGAGAAGCTTAGCGTGGCCCACGAGCTAGGATGACATGCAAATTCACGGTGCATTCCATGTTCTGTTGTTGTTGTTGTTTAAAGAAAAGACATATAAATAGGTCCAGAAATATGTTTACCAGGATGGCCTCATCAGAAACCAAAGAAATGTAAGTTCAAATGACGCGGTTTTTTTTTTTTTTCATTAAATTGTCAAAAATGTAAAAAAAACAGCGATAGTTGTCATTCAGATACACTATTAAGTAGAAGTGACATTTCATGCAATATATATGATGGGTGATTTTGCTAGGTATTTAAAGGCTTGGAAAAGTACATACTATTTACATAGCAATTCCATTTTAAGAAACCAAACCCAAGGATATAAAGAAGAAAGTGAAACAAATTTTAACATCAAGAATATTTATCATAATGACAGTTCAATGTAAATGACAAACAAAAAGGAAAAAAGTTATGGTATATGTAGGCAATAAAATGCTTTGAAACCACATAATATATGAAATGAAAATAAAAAGGACTGTTTACACACAGTTGTTACTCAATATATTTGGTTTATGCTGACATGTATTGAAATTCACGTGCCTTTTAGAAGGCTAGCTTTAGAGACATTTCTCAAAAAGACCTGAATACATTTCTGGGTGCATTTTATTATATTTGAATAACTTTAGTGACCCCATCCCCAAAATGAAATTTAGTTTTGATTTATAAGAAAATCTTTGTTTCCAGCCATCCCATAAGAAGAAATTAACTACTGACAGGACTGGAGATAAAGCTGAATAATCGCAGTATAAAGCTTTGATTAGGAGAGCACTCTCCAGAGATCCGGATATTTGGAGAGGAATGAGTCGCAGGTACCTCTTCCTATTTCAACAACTGAAGAAAGGTAGTGAGCAGAAGTCCACAAAAAGGTAATGGCGTAGCCCAAAATGCGGAGCAAATTTGTAATGTAAGTAGCTCCAGAAATTTTGTGTTTCTTGACCTCAAAATAGGTAAAGGGCTACACTTTCAAAGCCTGAAATATGCACCCTTTTAAAAAACTAACATTGTGCTTATTAATAAGATTCCATTTCAGAATAAGCTGAGTATAGCATTTATAAATGATAAAAATCCAATTATCCCCGTCAGTTAAGAAGAGGTGCCTGTCTGCCACCGTCCTGGCGAGGGGCTCGGCGCGTCTGAGTCAGGCCTGCACACGCTGTTATCTCGAGACAGGGCACTTCATCATCCTCCATGCTTTCGTAAAGCTGGAGGGTATTTATGGAACCCGGTGCGTGGAAACAGTCAATGAAATGAAGCCCGCGAAACACACAAAACAGCACTTATCCACTGTAAACAATGGGTTATTAGCGGTTTAAAGCGTGTTCTGTTTTCCCCACGCCCTATTTTGCGTGTTTGGTACGCTTCGCCCCTCTGTCCGACCTCTGTCACGTGGCTGCACGCGTCAGCGGGTTGGTAGCACGGACCACGTTTTATTCCTTAGTGGCAGTGTGTATCGTGTTATGGGAAGCACTGGAAAAACATCAGGGCGGCCTCTTCCAAGCTCCGGACTCTGTGATTTGGGTGCATGGGGGCTGTCTGTGCAGCAGGTGACACACAGCTCAGGTTCTGTAGGTGCCTGAGGGAGGCCCACGTCCCTGGGCTTCCCTCGGGCCACCAGGTGCCGTGTGTGCTGTCGGAGGTCAGGCTGGGCTGACAGTAGAGGACGTGGCCGTCCCCACACTGGTGCGTGGTATGTGCCTTTAGTGGCTGTGGGGACCGTCCTTCCCTGAGCTCCTCGAGTCAGGAACTACACTGTGACTGCAGCCACTATGCCTTCAAGCCAGTTACTATCTTCTCTTTATCATTCACCTTTTTAAAACAGTCTTATTTCAAAGGGCCTTTAATGGAAACACATACGTTCCTGTGTAACAGTAAATGACAACGAGGTTACAGGGAGTGGTATGCAAACTTGGCAAAAATATTAAGCTTAAAAACAGGATGAAATCATTTGGCAGTTTAGCATCTGAGTGGCTTAGAGAACTTTACACTTTGTTTCTCAGGAGCCCCTGGCAGAGTGAATACGTCGGTTCCCTGATTCCTTGTGGGCTCGGAACGTCCCCAGAGGAGGTTTGTTGGGAGGAGCCCAGCTGGTTCTGCCTCTGAAATCTGGGAGAAATGCCCCACAAGATCCTATCGAGAAGAGGCTTGGTGACTTGAAAACAATATTGTCAATAACACCTTTCATCTTAATTTGAAGAAAAGTAATGAGTGCTCTAGAATTTTTTTCTTAGATTCCCTCTTTGTAAGTCAAAAAAGTGCTAAAGCCCCACTTGATAAATGTCAAAAATAATGGGAATCTGGTACAAAATTCTTTAGCCAAGTATTGTCTTGATATTAACTCAACTTAATATATATGTATATATGTGTATATGTGTGTGTGTGGAGAGAGGGAGAGAATTTCCCTCTGGAACCCTTAGTCCCCGAGACCACCAGAGACCGTGATCCCCGACAGAAGCACGTATTTCCCAGCGAAGCCTGAGCGCAATGTGATGGAGAATTCCCTCTTGCTTGGGGGAGGGTGAACCTTGTCCTCTTCAGACCTTCCGCTGATCGGGTGAGGCCCACCTGCCGGGGAGACAGCCTGCTGTACTCCATTGAAAAAAATGTGCAGCTCATCCAAAACTCCCTCTCAGACGCACCCGGAGTAAAGTGACCACACGTCTGGGCGCCCTGTGGCCCACGCAAGGTGATTCAGAACAGTAACCGGCACAGAAGGGAGAAAGGCAAAATTGCACACCGGCTGCTTCTCCACCATCCCAGGGGCTGCGCCCGCTCTTCTCTCTCATTGGCCAGAACTCTGTCCCACGGCCCCGCCTCGCTATATGGGTGACTAGGAAATTGACCAGGAATCTCTTAAGAAAGAAAAAGAGAGAATAGATATTGGAATAGATATTCGGTGGGTAATTATCAGGGTCTGACCCACTAATTCACACTGTCATTTCCTTCCATCTTCAATATTAAAAAGTGGCTCCACAAAAAGTCACCAACTGTGGTAATTTTTTTATTAAGTGCAACACTGGTATGACCGCTGTCACAATACAATCTAACAAAATTGTTTTGAATGAAGTTAAAGACAACTAAACACTACTAGAGACCAAATGAACTTTTTGGTCAACTCAGTATTTTCTGAAATATGGCAAATGTGTCAAGGGATTGTGGGTGTGAGGTTCACAGTAGGGACATATTCACTCAAATTTACTAAAAGGATACCACGTGTTTCATACTAAATGCAAATAGTGTAGAATGTGTTTTAAACTTAGATTACTTATTGAATATCAAGTGTGTAAATATTAAAATGCATGATATATTTTGACAAACATTGACTCATTTTAAGTTTGGCTATGCACCAAAACACTCAGAGTCAAAAATATAGCGCCCAGTTAAATGCTGTTCACTAAACCTTGAGACGTTATCCTAAATATCAGTATTTGCAAATGTCTCTATTTTATGTCAGTTGCATCATTGAAGCATATGGTGGTACGTCTGCTAGGAAGGGTGAGGTAACACCTACCTAGTGAGTGACAGAAGTTTAAAGGTATCATTTGTGCACATATGGCTTCTGTTTAAATCTGTCTTCTAAGTGTACCTGTATATTTCAGAGTTGAAGATATAAATTTATTTACATATCTAAATATTTTAATAGCAATGTTTTGTATCATATTTATTAAAGCATAAATATTTTTATAAGATTTCACAGAAAAACAAGCCTTATAGTGTGAGGGTAACATAGACCAATCATTTTCCTCCAGTGAGGCTTTGCTTAAAGTGCTAGTGGTAAGAAGATATTTTGTTTTTTATTTTATTTTCCAGGAACCTAATTGTAATACCATTTTTTAGAATTGCAAGTTTAGTGTTTAAATGAAGATTTTTTTTATATGAGACGTCTATTGACTATTTAAAGTTCAACTGATATCAGTAATTATTAAAACCATGATAATATGAAACTAATGCTACTTGCTACCTCCCGATTATTTTGAAATGAAGCGATGTTCAAGTTTTCTAATTCAGAATAGTTAAAGGAAGTCAAACATAAAGGGATTTTAAAACTAAGATGCGACTTGCAGTTGTGTTTTTGAGGAGATGCCGCTCTTCCTAGTTGTGTAAGTGCCGTCCTCAGGGACGTGCCTGTCACAGCCCCTCTTCCCGGCCTGGCCAGGGCAGCTCCCGCTGCGACTCCTGCTTCCTGCGACCCTCCCGTTAGGGATGGACACGTGCGAAGGGCCCTTCCCGCCCTGCGCTCTCCCTTCCACGCCCGCTCCCAGGCCTGCCTCCGCCGCCGGGTTGCTCCCCCTGCAGCTCCTTCCCCACAAAGCACCCACTGAGCCCCTGCCTCCTGGATGTAAGGTTCTTGGGTGGCGTGCTCCCTACACCTCCGAGGACACCCGGTCACACCCGTCTCTCCAGGCTCTGGTGCCTCTGGCCTTGGACTGCTCGCCCAGGCCACCCCTACAGCCCTTTCCCTCGGTCTCTGCGCTCCCGACGCATCGGACAGCCATTCCTTCGGAGGGTACACCACGCTCTTCGCGTCCTCAGGGCTGCTGGGAGCGCGCTTCCCTCTCGTTCCAACTCTGTTCCCTGTCCTCAGCAGAAGGGGCTCCACTCATTTTCCCTTTCTAGTCTGTACGTCCTGCCCCTCACCAGGCCTTCCGGGAGCTTAGCCAGCACTGCACATCCACTCTTCTTCTCTTGACCATCACACACCGTAGACATATCAAAACTACGATTCTCTGGGGCTCCTTATTTTCTATTATCTGGCCACCAGCCGCCAGGCAGGAGACGCTGTGGCTGGAGTCCTGTTCGCCACCTCAGAGCCGTGGCCCACGTGCTGAGGTAGAAGGGCCCGTGGCAGTGCAAACACGGAACAAAAGCTCGCAGATTAACTGAGTAAAACCTCCGTGCTTCCAGTTCTTTGGTAGGAAAGTTAGCAATAATACTGTCTCCTAAAAATGGAGGCTTTATGTGTCAAGTATTGTGTCATAGAAAGTGTAGCTATCCTGGTGGTGAGGGCATTATCTTGTAGTTTTGTAGA